GAGAAAGCACTCTTTGCTTTAGAATGAATTCCTATAAAACAGATTTCACTATCTTTTTTGTTTTAGTTCAATTGTATTAATCTATTTTGCCTCTTAACTCTTGCTTGTTTTTTTTTAGCTCCATTTGTATTGTTTTATTGTAAAGTGTGTTGAAAGTTTGCTTTGATTTCATCTTAAATGTCTCTTTACATGTTATTTTGTTTGTATAGCACTTGAACCAGGGGGATATTTCTCCTAGTTTTTGCAGCTGTATTACAGTACTCATAATGCTCTGCTCCGTCTGTCCCTGCCATAGATATCCTATTAAATTACTAGAAGGGCTATGTCATAAACCCTCAAAGTTCCAGAATGGGGTGAAAATGCAGCCATATTGGTCAGGAAGAAATCCAAACCAGTCTAATTGGAATTAATGGCAGTAGAGACATAATTGTGATTTTACTTATGCAGGAAAATAAAAGTAAGGCATATGATATCAGAAATGGTGTCATATAATTGTCCCCAAAAAATGTTGTAATATAATTATAAATACAGTTTTATATGGGTTTTATATTTTTTTGTGTATAAATTGCCTCAAATATACATTATGTAAACAGACCATAAATGTCTTAGTTTTTGTTTTCTTGGAAAGCTGTCAGTGCAATTATATGATACAATATCAGTACTTGTTGCATTTACAACTTGTCTAAGTCCTATCATTTACATTTAGCATTTTAGTCATTTAGCAGACACTTATTCAGAGTGACTTACAGTAAGTGGATTCATCTTAAGATACACTATATATAAAAAAGTATGTGGACACCCCTTTAAATTAGCGGATTCGGCTATTTCAGCCATACCCGTTGCTGACAGGTATATAAAATCGATCACACAGCCATGCAATTTCCTTAGAAAAACATTGGCAGTAGAATGGCCTTACTGAAGAGCTCAGTGACTTTCAACGTGGCACCGTCATAGGATGCCACCTTTCCAAGTCAGTTCGTCAAATTTCTGCCCTGGTCAACTGTAAGTGCTGTTATTGTGAAGTGGAAACATCAAGGAGCAACAACGGCTCAGCCGCGAAGTGGTAGGCCACATAAGCTCACAGAACGGGACCGCCGAGTGGTGAAGCGTGTAGCGCTTTAAAATCATCTGTCCTCGGTTGCAACACTCACTACCGAGTTCCAAACTGCCTCTGGAAGCAACGTCAGCACAACAACTGTTCGTCGGGAGCGTCATGAAATGGGTTTCCATGACCGAGCAGCCGCATACAAGCCTAAGATCACCATGCGCAATGCCAAATCGTCTGGAGTGGTGTCAAGCTCGCTGCCATTGGACTCTTGAGCAGTGGAAACGCGTTTTCTGGAGTGATGAATCACGCTTCACCATCTGGCAATCTGACAGCCGAATCTAGGTTTGGCGGATGCCAGGAGAACGCTACCTGCCCCAATGTATAGTGCCAACTGTCAAGTTTGGTGGAGGAGGAATAATGGTCTGGGGCTGTTTTCGTGGTTCAGGCTCCTTAGTTCCAGTGAAGGGAAACCTTAAAGCTACAACATACAATGACATTCTAGACGAGTCTGTGCTTCCAACTTTGTGGCAACAGTTTGGGGAAGGCCCTTTCCTGTTTCCGCATGACAATGCCCCCTTTGCACAAAGTGAGGTCCATACAGAATGGTTTGTCGAGATCGGTGTGGAAGAACTTGACTGGCCTGCATAGAGCCCTGACCTCAACCCCAGCTTTGGGATGAATTGGAACGCCGACTGCGAGCCAGGCTTAATCGCCCAACATCAGTGCCCGACCTCACTAATGCTTTTGAGGCTGAATGGAAGCAAGTCCCCCAGCAATGTTCCAAAATCTAGGGGAAAGCCTTCCCAGAAGAGTGGAGGCTGTTATAGCAGCAAATGGGGGACCAGCTCCATATTAATGGCCATGATTTTGGAATGAGATGTTCGACGAGCAGGTGTCCACATACCTTTGGTCATGTAGTGTAGCTAGGTGGGACAACCACATATTACAGGCAAAGTAAGTACACTTTTCATCAATAAAGTAGCTATCAGCAGTCGAAGGGGGGGGGGGGGGGGTTAAGTGCAAGTGCTGGGTCAAGAACGTTTTTATGTGTGGAGGGGAGGGGAGGGGGGGGGGGATTATTTAAGATACTATTTGAAGAGGTAGGGTTTCAGGTGCTTTTGGAAGATGGGCATGGACTTTGCTGTCCTAGCTTCAGGGGGAAGCTGGTTCCACCATTGGTGTGCCAGGAAAGAGAAGAGCTTGGATTGGGCTGAGCGGGAAATGCCCTCCCGTAGGGGTGGGAGGGCCAAGAGACCAGAGGTGGCAGAATGGAGTGCTCGGGTTTGGGTGTAGAGTTTAAGCATAGCTTGAAGTTAGGGAGGGGCAGTTCGTCTTGCTGCCCTGTAGGCAAGCACCATGGTCTTGTAGTGGATTGAGCCTCGACTGGAAGCCAGTGGAGTGTGCGGAGGAGCGGGGTGACATGGGAGAAGTTGGGAAGGTTGAAAACCAGGCGGGCTGCAGCGTTCTGGATAAGTTGCAGGGGTTTGATGGCACAAGCAAGGAGCCCAGCCAACAGCGAGTTGCAGTAGTCCAGACGGGAGATGACAAGTGCCTGGATTTGGAGCATGAACCTGCAGGAGCGAGTCACTGCATTGATGTTTGCAGAGAACGACAGGGTGTTGTCCAGGGTCACGCCAAGGTTCTTTACACTCTGGGAGGGAGACACTGTGGAGTTGTCAACTGTTATGGAGAGGTCTTTGAGCGGGCAGGCCTTCCCCGGGAGGAAGAGCAACTCCTTCTTATCGAGGTTGAGCTTGAGGTGGTGGGCCGGCATCCAAGCTGAGATGTCTACCAGGCATGCAGAGATGCGGGTCGCCAGGTAGCATGTAATCCAAGAGTGCAGAGCCTGAGACGCCCAGCCCTGAGAGGGTGGAGAGGAGGATCTGATGGTTCACTGTGTCGAAGGCAGTGGATAGATCTAGGAGGATGAGAATAGAGGAGAGAGAGTCAGCTTTGGCACACAGAGAAGAGCAGTCTCGGTTGAGTGACATGTATTGAAGCCTAACTGGTTAGGGTCAAGAAGATCGTTCTGAGAGAGATAACGAGAGAGTTGATCAGAGACACAAACTCAAGTGTTGGAAACTAAAGAAAGAAGGGTCTATGGTTTTTGACGTCAGATTAGTTTCTTGAGGAGGGGAGCAACGTTTTGAAGTCAGAGGGGTCGCAGCCAGTGGTCAGGGATGAGTTGATGAGGGAAGTGAGGAATGGTCTCCAGATATGGTCTGGAGAAGGGAGGAGGAGATGGGGTCGAGCGGGCATGTTGTCGGGCAGCCAGACCTCACTAGTTGCAGGATTTCATCTGGATAAAGAGGGGAGAAATAGGTCAAGGCCTAGGGTAGTTTTGCATGAGTGGGACCAGTGGACTCAATAGGCTGAGTGAATGACGGGGGGTTGTCGTCAACCTTCTTTTCAAAGTGGTTGACAAAGTCGTCCACAGTCAGGGAGGGGGAGGGGGTGGAGGATTAAGGTGGGAGGAGAAGGTGGAAAAGAGTTTCCTAGGGTTAGAGGCAGAAGCTTGACATTTAGAGTGATAGAAAAAGGTTTTAGCAGTGGATACAGAGGAAGACAAGGTAGAGAGGAGGGAGTGAAAGATGATAGGTCCTCTGGAAGTTTAGTTTTCCTCCATTTTTGCTCAGCTGCCCGCAGCTCTGTTCTGTAAGCTCGCAATGAGTCACTCAGCCACGGAGCAGGAAGGGAGGGCCTAGCCAGCCAGAAAGAAAGGGGACAGTGCGAGTCATAGGATGCAGAAAGACACATGACCTTCTGAGTAGGGGCTGAGTGGCTAGGGTTGGAGGAAAGGGAGACAGAAAAGGAAACAAAATAGTGATCAGAGACCTAGAGGGGGGTTGCAGTGAGATTAGTAGGCGAACTGTCTCTAGTAAAGATGAGGTCAAGCATATTGCCTGCCTTGTGAGTTGGAGGGGATTGGGAAAGGGTGAGGTCAAAAGAGGCAAGGAGGGGAAAGAGAGAGTTGGAAAGAAATGAATCAAAGCCAAGTACGAAGAGCGGTCAGCCATCGTCAGGAAATGAGCTTTTGAGGAAATCTCTAAGGGCACCTGGTGGGCGATAGATGACAACAATGTTAAGCTTGAGTGGACAAGTGACAGTGATAGCATGAAATTCAAATGACGAAATGGACAGGTTAGAGGGAGAAATTAGGAGAAATTAGTAGCCCTGTGCCACCACCGCGACGACCAGATGCTCTTGGACTATGAGAGAAAACATAGTCAGATGAAGAGAGAGCAGCTGGGGTAGCAGTGTTCTCTGGGGTGATCCATGTCTCCATCAGGGCCAAAAAGTCTAGGGACTAAAGGGCAGCATAGGCTGAGATGAACTCTGTGTTCTTGACCGCAGATCGGCAGTTCCAAACGCTGCCAGAGACCCGGAATTCCACATGGGTTGTGCGTGCAGGATACACTAAATTAGAAGGGTTGCAGCCAATGGGGTGGGGAGCGTCTGTAAAGCCTACAGGGAGAGGTGAGAACAGGTATAGAAAACACGCACATAGTTGCCAAAGCTACAAAAGAGCAAAAATGAGATAATCAGAAAATATCTAGGTAAGATACTGAAGTGAGAGAGTGGTGTGGAGCCTTCCTCTCTTTCCTTCCTATCATCAACTGATTTCATCCAGTGTATGGCTGTTGATTGACTGCATTGTTTGAATGGAATGTTGGCAAATTGGCAGTTAATTCGAAACATTTATGGTATCATTCCTCTAAAACTGGCTGTCTAGCTAGCTAACAAACATACGGTGCAGATAAAGTCTTCAAATTAATTATTTCACACTATCTTATCACAGCACTGTCAAACCATGGTTGACCAACTACCTGACCAAAATGGCTGACCTTTATCCCATCTTAAGAAGGTTGATGTCCATTCTAGTATTCTAATTCCTCATTCTACGATCCCTGCTCTGTCCCCTCTTCCTTATCATTACACTACCTTCCTGACAGGTGGGTCCTATCCAGCCTTGTAGACAGGTGCAGCGGCCGTTCCGTGGGTCACACCACGCCCCGTTCCTGCACTCACAGCTCTCAGAACAGTCCGGGCCGTAACGGTTCACTGGACAATCTGGACAAAGCCCAGACAGGGAAACAAGAATTGTGACAACACTTTTAGATTATGGTGCTGTTTGGCCTATAGGGGTAAATCCTTACTTTGACTTAAGTCTAACTGCATTGATGTTAATGGGAGACTAAGTGAACATTTGACTTAAGTTAGGATTCACCCCATAGTCCTTTGAGGAAACGGATGTTGCTGAATCATACTACTTAGATATTAAATAAATAAAAAGAAGCAAACAACTACTTGTGTCACAGCGCGTGCCCATCTTCCCTGGGGGGCACAGACAACGGCCGGTCATGGGGTCACATGGGGTGTCCCCTTCGCAGTCACATGACTGGGTGCAGCCCACCCCGAAACGACCCTGCTCACACTCTGTGACAGGGAATGAGAGGGAGGGGAGGGGGAACATTCAGACGGGCACACATGGATATGAGAATGGAAACCAGTCCGCAGCCTTCAGCATTGTAGGTAAAAGACTATGACAAGCACATGTCGCAGGAGACAACATCTTAGCTGTAATTATGACTGGGGCAAGTGACAGTCACACTTTATCGGCAGTTACAACCAGATTATTAGGCAATGGTATTTACTAAATATCAGCTTAATCCTTATTTTTAGTTAAACTGCTTCTCACCTTTCTCACAGCGGTATCCATGGTAACCAGGAGGGCAGAGACAGTGCCCTGTGCTGGGATCACAGGGGGCGTGGCCTCGACACTTACACTGGAGCTGACAGCGGTGGCCATGGAAACCAGCAGGGCAGGCTAGACAGAACATAGAACAGAATGTTAGGATAGTAAAACATTAGAACATAAAAGAGCATTCGAAAAGAGCCTTGAATAGCTTTCTTATATCGTTTCTCACGCGCCTAACCTAACCCTCCAAACCTTTGATACTGTTTTATCAACATTGATTCATTGATTGCGTCAAATTGAGTTATTTCATATGATCAATATGATGATTAATTGATCCACTCATAGTAGCAGTAACTGAATGGCCCTGCCTTACCGTGTTCACACAGATGACCGTAGTATCCCGGGTCACACCGGCACTCTCCCGTTACTCTGCCGCACGTCCCATTGTTATGACAATCACACCGCAGTTTGCAGTTGGCCCCGTAACTCCCTAAGGGGCACTCTGAATGACAGAGCAACAGAAACACACACAACACCTTGTAATGGGTAAGCAATGTAATGGTGTCATGGGCTCATCATGATATCATTACTTCTATGCTCGCTTCGAGGCAAGTAACATGCATGAGAGCATCAGCTGTTCCGGACGACTCTGTGATCACGCTGTCCGTAGCCAATGTGAGTAAGACCTTTAAACAGGTCAACATTCACAAGGCCTTAGGGCCAGACGGATTACCAGGACGTGTACTCTGAGCATGCGCTGACCAACTGGCAAGTGTCTTCACTGACATTTTCAACCTCTCCCTGTCTGAGTCTGTAATACCAACATGTTTCAAGCAGACCACCATAGTCCCTGTGCCCAAGAACACTAAGGTAACCTGCCTAAATGACTACCGACCCGTAGCACTCACGTCTGTAGCCATGAAGTGCTTTGAAAGGCTGGTCATGGCTCACATCAACACCATTATCCCAGAAACCCTAGACCCACTCCAATTTGCATACCGCCCCAACAGATCCACAGATGATGCAATCTCTATTGCGCTCCACACTGCCCTTTCACACCTGGACAAAAGGAACACCTATGTGAGAATGCTATTCATTGACTACAGCTCAGCGTTCAACACCATACTGCCCTCAAAGCTCATCACTAAGCTAAGGACCCTGGGACTAAACACCTCCCTCTGCAACTGGATCCTGGACTTCCTGACGGGCCGCCTCCAGGTGGTAAGGGTAGGAACAACACATCCGCCACGCTGATCTTCAACACGGGGCCCCTCAGTGGTGCGTGCTCAGTCCCCTCCTGTACTCCCTGTTCACTCATGACTGCATGGCAAGGCACGACTCCAACACCATCATTAAGTTTGCCGATAACACAATAGTGGTAGGCCTGATCACCGACAACGACGAGACAGCCTATGGGGAGGAGGTCAGAGACCTAGCTGTGTGGTGCCAGGACAACAACCTCTCCCTCAACGCGATCAAGACAAAGGAGACTACAGGAAAAAGAAGAGGACCGAGCACACCCCCATTCTCATCGACGGGGCTGTAGTGGAGCAGGTTGAGAGCTTCAAGTTCCTTGGTGTCCACATCACCAACAAACTAACATGGTCCAAGCACACCAAGACAGTCGTGAAGTGTGCACGACAAAACCTATTCCCCCTAAGGAGACTGAAAAGATTTGTCATGGGTCCTCAGATCCTCAAAAGGTTCTACAGCTGCACCATCGAGAGCATCCTGACTGGTTGCATCACTGCCTGGTATGGCAACAGCTCGGCCTCCGACCGCAAGGCACTACAGAGGGTAGTGCGTACGGCCCAGTACATCACTGGGGCCAAGCTTCCTGCCATCCAGGACCGGTACCCCCTGTATATAGCCTCGCTATTGTTATTTTTACTGTTGATCTTTAATTATTTGTTACTTTTATTTCGTATTATTATTTTTTTGTGTGATTTCTTTTTGTATTCTTTCTTAAAACTGCATTGTTGTTTAAGAGCTTGTAGGTAAGCATGTCACTGTAAGGTCTACACCTGTTGTATTCGGCGCATGTGACAAATAACATTTGATTTGATTTGATGTCAGGGGCACTTAAATGGAGTCTTCACATCGATTCACAACACAACACAATGAGGAGAATGGGAAATGTGAGCTGTTGACCATGGTTGTCATGACCTGGGTTCAAATACTATTTGAAATAATTTCAAATAATGTGTCTGTGCTTGATTAAGGTTGCCTGTTGCAATGGATCCTATAGAATTGAAGCAAAAGTGCAAACCATGCCCACCTGGCACTACAGGCAGGCTAAAACAAATGCTCAAAGTAATTGAAAGATTTAGAATAGTATTTATAGCCAGGTCTGCTCAGGTCACCTCTGTCACAGCTGGGTCCAGTCCAGCCTAGTCCGCAGGTGCAGCCTCCAGAGACCGGGTCACACACACCACCGTTACGGCAGTTACAGCGCTGGCCACAGTCCTCCCCATACCAACCCTGGGCACAACCTGAGAAACACAAACAGGCACACACACCAGCACGCACACAAGCACACAAACATACACACCGTAGACTGTCAATAAAACATGATGAATGGGATTATTACATTTGACACTCATTGTGGAGCAGAAATAAACTGTGTGTGTTACAGTGTGTGTGTATTACCCTGTCCACAGTCTTCTCCCCGCTGGCCGGCCTTGCACACACACCTGCCTGTCTCTGGGTCACTCCGTGCCCCCTCCCCACAGAACGCCACCCTGGCACAGTCCTGCCCATAACGCCCTGATGGGCATGCTGGTAGAACCAGAGGAAAAGAGTGGGGAAAGAGAGGAGACCATACAAAACGTTACTTGGTAGTGCTTGTGTTATAGGATGAAAAATGAATGACTAATTACCATTTTGCTTTTTAATGTTAAAATAAATACTTGGTAAATAACAAACTGTAGCCTGTGGATATGCCCATGCCCCTGGCACACGCTGGCACTCACTGATGTTGCAGTCTGCTCCGATGTAGCCAGACAGGCACTGGCAGGTGCCCGTGGTGGTCTGGCACACACCAGCATTCCTACACTGGCATAGACGCTCGCAGTTTGGGCCGTACCGTCCTATGTCACACTCTGTCAAGCCAAACACACACAGGACTTAGCTGTGTTAAAACATTTCCTACTGGTAAGATCAACGTTTTTTCTATTCAGGTGAGGTCATAACTAAGGTCAAGAGTGTTTCCTGATCAGGTCACATTGTGGAAAATCTCCTGGCCCTACCTATGACTATTGTAAGTTCAACTTTCAATAGTGGAATTTCTTTGTGACATTGGTATAGGAAATGTGTATCTGTGCGTTTATGTGTGTGATGGGGTGCTTGCCTTGATTACAATTGTAACCATGGTAACCGGGGGCGCAGTAGCAGAGGCCGGTGTCAGGGTGGCACAGCTGGTTGGTGCCAGAGCACTGGCACACCTGGTTACAGTTCAGTCCATACGTGCCAGGCTGGCATACTGGCAAATAAACACATAACACACATGTTGACTCCCATACAATATCCTGATACATGGACTTTTTCAGTAGGCTACACAAAAAGGTGTGCCTACATGTTAGGTAGTAGTAATAAGGAAACTGAACGTATATTTACTATCGTTTCATTCAGCAACCCCATACATATACTGCATATCTACCTCATAGGCCCTTTTTTCAAATACTTCAGAAACATATCCTTCCTTCCTTCCTTGGGGTTATCACAGATCTGAAATGGTTGGATTGGTGAAAGTATCACTTAAAGATTCTTATAGATCGGCGCTTACCTCAAGGAACCAGGGAAGGGAGGAAGAATTTCTGAAGTATTCAAACGTGGGCATAGCATTCTGTGTTCTTCATTGCCCTACTCTCCTATCCCTCTGGCTTCTAGGCTAGACTAGAGCTCGCTCTACAGCCACTTACACCATGACACACCACACTGTATCACCAAACGAATGCTAACTTGTTGGGTTGCTAAACAGCAGTCTTTAAATCATTGCATGCGTCACTGCAGAGTTGATTCGTTTGTTACACGCAATGCAACACAATTCATGCAAAGCAGTACATTATACAACATATCTTTACTAGCCTTCGTCTGCCCCAAATCACTCACTCTGCTCACAGCCGTTGCCAGTGAATCCAGGGGGACAGCCACACTCGCCAGAAACGTGGTTGCAGGAAGTGCCGTGGGGACAGTTACAGCGTAGCACACAGTCCTTCCCATAGGAGCCAGGTAGACAGGCTGTGGTGAACGTGGAAATCACATACATTCAATTAAGTCAATGCGTGCGGTCTGTTGCTTATGATTGACAGTATATACAGCTCCTTGTGATGAATAGGTTCTATACATTCGTAGTAGCTTCAGAGTGGGAGTGCTGATGTATAATAAGGTCTCCCCTGTCCATGTAATCTCATTCATTATATAATCTAAAAGGCTAATCTGATACTAGGTCAGCAATCTGACCTTACCTCTGTCACACAGAGGTCCCCTCCAGCCAGGAGGACACACACACACTCCGCTGACGTGGTCACACACGGGCCTATGGTTACATCGACACTGCTCCTCACACCCTGGGCCAAACAGGCCGGCCTCACATGCTGTTAAGGGCACAAGCGCACAAAAAACATTAACATTTTTAACTGCCGTCATCAAAGTGCTTATTCTCGTCTGCACTGCTGCTTCTCATATTCAACTGCTAGACAGAGCGCTTACATCTTGGATTGGAGCCAATAGCCTTCTGTTGGCTACACCACAAAAAACATGATTAATTGATTAGGCTGTTGTTACTGTTATGATTAAGCATACACAAACACATCCACTGTTTTGATTACTGTCTTTTTTTGATAAATAAAAACGAGAACCGAAGGCAACATGATAAAGATATTAGAATTGCAAAAAGAAAGTGCCTGTAAGCTTTCATATAGGCTAACACAAGTTAAAAAACAACAGAGCAAGAAACAGACATACATTTAGCCTTAAACCTTTCAAAATAAATCTATAAACTATGCTACATCTCTTCTTATAAACAAATTGTGTGAATAAAGTAAAAAGAAAGATGTGCTATCTAGCCTATTTAACACTCACAAAGTTTAAGCTGTAAATTAGGCAATGATATCTCTCATCAACAAATTGTAAAAAGCAAAGACCAGGGTTCCCCAAATGGTGGCCCGTGGGCTGAATTTGACATGCGGGTTATTTTATTTGATCCCCCAAGTTTTCAGAGCAAAAAATTATTGTATTTTAATTTTTGTTATTCCCAAGCATTATAGACAGATACAGTTGAAGTCGGAAGTGTAGCTCAGTTGGTAGAGCATGGAGCTTGCAACGCCAGGGTTGTGGGTTCGATTCCCACGGGAGGCCAGTATGAAAAAAATAAAATAATTATGCACTCACTAACTGTAAATTGCTCTGGATAAGAGCGTCTGCTAAATGACTAAAATGTAAAAAAATGTAATACACTTAGGTTGGAGTTATTAAAACTCATTTTTCAACCACTCCACAAATGTCTTGTTAACAAACTATAGTTTTGGCAAGTCGGTTAGGACATCTACTTTGTGCATGACACAAGTAATTTTTCCAACAATTGTTTACTGACAGATTATTTCACTTATAATTCACTGTATCACAATTCCAGTGGGTCAGAAGTTTACATACACTAAGTTGACTGTGCCTTTAAACAGCTTGGAAAATTCCAGAAAATGATGTCATGGCTTTAGAAGCTTCTGATAGGCTAATTGACATCATTTGAGTCAATTGGAGGTGTACCTGTGGATGTATTTCAAGGCCTACCTTCAAACGCAGTGCCTCTTTGCTTGACATCATGGGAAAATTAAAAGAAATCAGCCAAGACCTCAGAAAAAATATTGTAGACCTCCACAAGTCTGGTTCATCATTGGGAGCAATTTCCAAATGCCTGAAGGTACCACGTTAATCTGTACAAACAATAGTATGCAAGTATAAACACCATGGGACCACGCAGCCGTCATACCGCTCCAGAAGGAGACGCGTTCTGTCTCCTAGAGATGAACGTACTTTGGTGTGAAAAGTGCAAATCAATCCCAGAACAACAGCAAAGGACCTTGTGAAGATGCTGGAGGAAACAGGTACAAAAGTATCTATATCCACAGTAAAACGAGTCCTATATCGACATAACCTGAAAGGCCGCTCAGCAAGGAAGAAGCCACTGCTCCAAAAACCGCCATAAATAAAAATGCCAGACTGCGGTTTGCAACTGCACATGGAGACAAAGATCATACTTTTTGGAGAAATGTCCTCTGGTCTGATGAAAGAAAAATAGAACTGTTTCGCCATAATGACCATCGTTATGTTTGGAGGAAAAAGGGGACGCTTGCAAGCCGAAGAACACCATCCCAACCGTGAAGCACGTGGGTGGCAGCATCATGCTGTAGGGGGGGTTTTGCTGCAGGAGGGACTGGTGCACTTCACAAAATAGATGGCATCATGAGGAAGGAAAAATTATGTGGATATATTGAAGCAACATCTCAAGACATCAGTCAGGAAGTTGAAGCTTGGTCGCAAATGGGTCTTTCAAATGGACAATGACCCCAAGCATACTTCCAAAGTTGTGGCAAAATGGCTTAAGGACAACAAAGTCAAGGTATTGGAGTGGCCATCACAAAGCCCTGACCTCAATCCTATAGAACATTTGTGGGTAGAACTGAAAAAGTGTGTGCGAGCAAGGAGGCCTACAAACCTGACTCAGTTACACCAGCTCTGTCAGGAGGAATGGGCCAAAATTCACCCAACTTATTGTGTGAAGCTTGTGGAAGGCTACCTGAAACGTTTGACCCAAGTTAAACAATTTAAAGGCAATGCTACCAAATACTAATTGAGTGTATGTATACTTCTGACCCACTGGGAATGTGATGAAAGAAATAAAAGCTGAAATAAATAATTCTCTCTACTATTATTCTGACATTTCACATTCTTAAAATAAAGTGGTGATCCTAACTGACCCAAGACAGGGAATTTTTACTAGGATTAAAAGTCAGGAATTGTGAAAAACTGAGTTTAAATGTATTTGGCTAAGGAGTATGTAAACTTATTTAATCTTATTCTCTTTTATCAGCATGCCTCTTTTGTAGTTTCCTTAGTGTTTTCTAAGTATTATTTGGAGTATTACTATATTTTATATTTACTGTCACTTATTTAATTGTTCACTTTTGTCTCCATTGCACTGTTTGAGAAGCCCGCCAGTTGTATACGACCAATACAATTTGATTTGATTTATTTGTTGTCACCTGTGGACCCAGATCCTGATAGAATTGTGCCAACACCTAATCACTTAAAGTACTTTTCCAAAAACATGTTTTGAAATTGCCATGACATCCAATATATAGAAAATATAATAATAATCTTGTCACACCCTGGCTCTGGGACTCTATATGTTGAGCCAGGGTGTGTTCATTCTATGTGTTGTATTTCTATGTCGGGAGTTCTAGTTGTGTTGTTTCTATGTTGGCCAGAGTGACTCCCAATCAGAGGCGACGAGTGTCAGCTGTGGCTGGTTGTCTCTGATTGGGAGCCATATTTAAACTGTCTATTTGCCCTTTGTGTTTTGTGGGATCTTGTTCGAGTTGGTTTGTGTTTGACCGTTGACTGTCACGTTATCGTTTTCTTGTTTTGTTCGTGCTTTCACTTATTAAAGAAGTATGTTCGCAACTAACGCTGCGCATTGGTCTACTCCATACGACGATCGTGACAGAAGATCCCACCACTCCAGGACCAAGCAGCGTGTCCAGGAACAGGCTGCCTGGACATGGGAGGAAGCGCCAGGAAAGGAGCTGGAGAGGTTGGCGGTGGCCCAGGTGGGCAAAGTGTGGTCCTGGGAGGACATGCTCGGGGGAAAAGGGCCATGGGCTATGATTAAGGCCCTGGCGAGAGAGGAGCAGCGGCGTCAGCAGTGTCGTCGTCGGACGGACGAGAGGCAACCCAAAACATTTTTTAGGGGGGGGGGCACACGGCATGGGCGACTGGGCAGCAGGAGGCTGCCACAGGGCGATTTGGGAGATTTGGAGAGGAGGCCACCGGGTTTGGGGGGCCAGAAGGCAGGTTGGCGGAGCCTGGATGGAGAGCGGAACCAACTTCCCGTACTCAGGCATGGCAGCATGGGACTGGACAGGTGCCGCGGTATGCGGAGCGGCGTACGGTGCCACGAGTGGTCCGGCATAGTCCGGTACGTCCTGTGCGAGCACCCCGCACGTGTCGTGCGAAGGTGGGTATGCAGCCAGGACGGAGTGTGCCGGCTCAGCGCTCGTGGTCTCCAATGCCTCTCCTCGGTCCCGGATATCCTGCTCCAGTGTCACGTGCTGTTATGCCAGTACGGGTACACAGCCCTGTACGTCCTGTGCGGATGCCTCACACAGAGTGTGTGAAGGTAGGCATTCAGCCGGGACGGGTTGTGGCCGCTCTTCACTCCAGGTCTCCTATCCGTCTCCACAGCCCGGTCCGGCCTGTTCCTGCCCCTCGCACCAAGCCTACGGTTCGCGTCGCCAGCCCGGCCCGGCCTGTTCCTGCCACTCGCACCAAGCCTACGGTGCGCGTCGCCAGCCCGGCCCAGCCTGTTCCTGCCCCTCGCACCAAGCCTACGGTGCGCGTCGCCATTCCGGCCCGGCCTGTTCCTGCCACTCGCACCAAGCCTACGGTGCGCGTCGCCGGCCCGGCCTGTTCCTGCCACTCGCACCAAGCCTACGGTGCGCATCGCCAGCCCGGCCCGGCCTGTTCCTGCCACTCGCACCAAGCCTACGGTGCGCATCGCCAGCCCGGCCCGGCCTGTTCCTGCCACTCGCACCAAGCCTACGGTGCGCGTCGCCAGCCCGGCCCGGCCTGTTCCTGCCACTCGCACCAAGCCTACGGTGCGCGTCGCCAGCCCGGCCCGGCCTGTTCCTGCTACTCGCACCAAGCCAGGGGTGCGAGACGTCAGCCTGGTAAGGCCCATTCCTCCTCCACGCACCAAGCCAGGGGTACGAGTCGTCAGCCTGGTAAGGCCCGTTCCTCCTCCACGCACCAAGCCAGGGGTGCGTATCTTCAGCCCGGTCCGGCCCGTTGCTGCTCCTCGCACCAGGCCAGGGGTGCGCATCGTCAGCCCGGTCCGGTCCGTTCCTGCTCCATGCACCAAGCCAGGGAGGCGCGTCGTCAGTCCGGCACAACCCGTGCCTGGGTCACCGGTGCCTGATCAGGTACTGGTCGGCTGCTCCACACCGGAGCTGAAGCTATCCGCTCCTACTATGTCCAGTTCAGCTCCAGCCAGCGGGGCCAGATCGGACCAGGGGCGCTATGGGGGGATTATTGGAGGGTGGTGGGCAAGCCCGGAGCCAGAACCGCCGCCGAGGAGGAATGCCCACCCATCCCTCCCCTGTTTGGTTCTAGTTGAGGCGCGGTCGCAGTCCGCGCCTTTAGGGGGGGTACTGTCACACCCTGGCTCTGGGACTCTATATGTTGAGCCAGGGTGTGTTCATTCTATGTGTTGTATTTCTATGTCGGGAGTTCTAGTTGTGTTGTTTCTATGTTGGCCAGAGTGACTCCCAATCAGAGGCGACGAGTGTCAGCTGTGGCTGGTTGTCTCTGATTGGGAGCCATATTTAAACTGTCTATTTGCCCTTTGTGTTTTGTGGGATCTTGTTCGAGTTGGTTTGTGTTTGACCGTTGACTGTCACGTTATCGTTTTCTTGTTTTGTTCGTGCTTTCACTTATTAAAGAAGTATGTTCGCAACTAACGCTGCGCATTGGTCTACTCCATACGACGATCGTGACAAATCTGGGATGGGGAGCAGGCATGCAACTGGCTTGATGCTGAATAAAGTGGCTTGCCTAAAGGGGCAGCTGTAGTGTGACTAGGCAGTGTCTCTCCTGAGTGGTGCAGTGGTCTAAGGCACTGCATTGCAGTGCTAGCTGTGCCACTAGAGATCCTGGTTCGAATCTAGGCTCTGTCGTAGCCGGCCGCGACCGGGAGACCCATGGGGCGGTGCACAATTGGCCCAGCGTCGTCCAGGGTAGGGGAGAGAATGGCCGGCAGGGGATGTAGCTTAGTTGGTAGAGCATGGCATTTGCAACGCCAGGGTTGTGGGTTCGATAAAATAATGTATGTGCTAACTGTAAGTCGCTCTGGATAAGAGCGTCTGCTAAATGACTAAAATGTAAATGTAAGAAAATGTCTCACCAGTGGGATGAGAGTGGCTGCTAAATCAGTAAAAGCATTCTGTCGTGGGCCCCTTATCTGTTTAGCTGACAGGCAGCTCTGCTGTCGCACCGCAGAGCCATTACTCTGAAGGACCGCCTGCCCGCTAAGTGCTTGTTGCTAAGTGGGAATATAAACATCTGGCAATACCTGAGAAAGTAGTTGGCTAGGTTGCTAAGTGAAATTTGGCTGATAGTTAGCCGTGTAATTGATATCTAACCATACATTTTATGCACTCACTGTGAATGGCCGACGTAAGTGTCCTTCCCTCAATAATAAGAGTTGATAATAATAGTAGCAAAATTGGTTTGCTTAAAACAATGTTTTTCCCACGATTGCATTTTGAAATGTTGTGCAACCAGAAAGCATTTTTCTCTCCTGCTACCCCAGCACACAAAGGGGAGAGAGTGAAAGTGAACTGTAAATAGGCTACAAAGCAGCAAGAAGGACCTCTGTGGAGTCCAGATGACTCTGATTGACCAGTGGGCCATGTATAAATGTTTTGGAAGACACCTATTCATTCAACCAGTCTGAATACAAAATAATCCATCCACCCTTGATGGGTGATTTGCAGGACAATATAATCTTGCTGAGATGAGAACATGTGAGAAGTCTTGAGGGTGCGCTAAAGAACTGAAATTCTGACAAATTTAGATGAAATCAGATGTTTTTATAAATGTAACAGTAATCCGTGTAAAAAAAAAAAAAGTTTTGTAATCCAGGCTGATTACAGTTACTTCATTTTTGTAATCGGATTAATTTAATCCCGATTTATATGTAATCTGTTACAACCCAACCCTGATCACACACATAAATACACATACAACAACATTGACAAGACACACAGAAACACACACGTACACACTCAATAAATCAGGTCAGAGTACAAGAAAGTACAGGTCTTAGGGCAACATGGTTAGGATTCTTGTTCCTTACCTGTCTGACAGTGCTGTCCTACCCAGCCCGGGCCACAGCTGCACTCTCCACTGTGACGGTCACACACACCACCGTTCAAACACGCACAGGGCTGAGCACAGTCCGCCCCAAACCAGCCATGGGCACACTCTGGGAATAGAATCAGAATCACCTATGTTCACCAAGTGCATTTACACATACTAAAAATGTTACTTTGTGATATGGTACTGCTAGTGATAGACAACATTTAGAGACTGAATACAGACAGAGGAGTTTACACAGAGTTTACATACAGTACCAGTCAAAAGTTTGGACACACCTACTCATTCCATGGTTTTTCTTTATTTTTCCTATTTTCTACATTGTATAATAATAGTGAAGACATCAAAACTATGAAATAACACATATGGAATCATGTAGTAACCAAAAAAGTGTTAAACAAATCCATATATATTTGAGATTTGAGATTCTTCAAATAGCCACCCTTTGCCTTGATGACAACTTTGCACACTCTTGGCATTCTCTAAACCAGCTTCACCTGGAATGCTTTTCCAACAGTCTTGAAGGAGTTCCCACATATGCTGAGCACTTGTTGGCTGCTTTTCCTTCACTCTGCCGTCCGACTCATCCCAAACCATCTCAATTGGGTTGAGGTCGGGCGATTGTGGAGGCCAGGTCATCTGATGCAGCACTCCATCACTCTTCTTGGTCAAATAGCCCTTACACAGCCTGGAGGTTGTGGGGTCATTGTCCTGTTGAAAAACAAATGATAGTCCCACTAAACCCAAACCAGATGGGATTGGGTATCGCTGCAGAATGCTGTGGTAGCCATGCTGGTTAAGCACCCCCACACCATAACACCTCCTCCTCCATGCTTTACGGTGGGAACTACACATGCGGAGATAATCCGTTCACCCACACAGTGTCTTACAAAGACATGGCGGTTGGAACCAAAAATCTAAAATTTGGACTCCAGACCAAAGGACACATTTCCACCCGTCTAATGTCCATTGCTTGTGTTTCTTGGCCCAAGCAGGTCTCTTCTTATTATTGGTGTCCTTTAGTGGTGGTTTCTTTGCAGCAATTCGACCATGAAGGCCTGATTCACACAGTACCCTCTGAACAGTTGATGTTGAGATGTGTCTGTGACTTGAACTCTGTGAAGCATTTATTTGGGCTTCAATTTCTGAGGCTGGTAATTCTAATGAACTTATCCTCTGCAGCAGAGGTAACTCTGGGTCTTCCATTCCTGTGGCGGTCCTCATGAGAGCCAGTTTCATCATAGCGCTTGATGGTTTTTGCAACTGCACTTGAAGAAACGTTCAAAGTTCTTGAAATGTTCCGTATTTACTGACCTTCATGTCTTAAAGTAATGATGGAGTGTTGTTTCTCTTTGCTTATTTGAGCTGTTCTTGCCATAATATGGACTTGGTATTTTACCAAATAGGGCTATCTTCTGTAGAGAGAGGAGGAAGGGAGGAGAGATAAAGGGGAGGGAGAGAAAGGAAGGGGAGAGAGGAATGATAAAACGAGACACAGAGCAGGGTTAAAGAGAGCAAAAGATGACCCAGTTGATTATCTAAATAGATCGTTCAGAGTCGTTGACATAAATGCTCAGATTGTAAGAGCTGTGAAATGACCTGCGATCGGTCACATCTACCACAACCTTTTCTTTTGTGTTTGTAAGCCCCACAGCACTTACTACAGCCGTTGTTTGAAATGTGCTCATACATATAGTTCAATGAGATGGAGTGGCACACACAGGAGAGGCCAGGAGGTTGAACTCTGACTTCTATTTAGAACTATTAGAATTATTCTCCTTCTACTTCAGAACTACAGAGGTTCCCTGAGTTCTGCTTGGTTCACAAGACATCAGGAATAACATCCTACACAAATCAGACTGGATGTAATTGTGAGTAACCTAATGGAATAATTAATTAATTAATAACCAATTATTACAATGTATTTATATACTGAACAAAAATATAAACGCAACATGCAACACATTTCAAAGATTTTACTGAGTTACAGTTCATAAAAAGAAATCAGTCAACTGTAATAAATTCATTAGGCCCTAATATATGGATTTCACATGACTGGGCAGGGATGCAGCCATGGGTTGACCTGAGAGGGCACTGGGGAGCCAGGCCCAGCCAATCGGAATGAGTTTTCCCCCACAAAAGGGCTTTATTAGAGACAGAAATACTACTCAGCACCCCTTCTCAGACGATCCCGCAGGTGAAGAAGCTGGATGTGGAGGTCCTGGGCTGGTGTAGTTACACGTGGTCTGTGGTTGTGAGGCCGGTTGGATGTACTGCCAAATTCTCTAAAACAACATTGGAAGCGGCTTATGGTAGAGAAATAAATATTAAATTCTCTGGCACAGCTCTGTTGGACATTCCTGCAGTCAGCATGCCAATTGCACGCTCCCTCAAAACTTGAGACATCTGTGGCATCGTGTTGTGTGACAAAACTGCACATTTTAGAGTGGCCTTTTATTGTCCCCAGCACAGGTACACCTGTGTAAAGATCATGTTGTTTAATCAGCTTCTTGATATGCCACACCTGTCAGGTGGATGGATTATCTTGGCAAAGGAGAAATGCTCACTAACAGGGATGTAAACACATTTGTGCAAACAATTTGAGAGAAATAAGGTTTTTGTGGTATATAACATTTCTGGGATCTTTTATTTCAGCTCATGAAACATGGGACCAACACTTTATATGTTGCATTTGTATGATTATTCAGTAAAGTTAATTACACATTTTTTTCTGTACTTTAAAGTTCTACCAATAGTTCTGTTCCATTTCTAGTTCCGAAGTGTATGGCAGATGTTTTGAGCCAAATTCCTGTTTTTTTAGACTTAACTGTCGAATAGTTTATATACTTCTGTGTCGTGAAGAGTTACACTGCCTTCAGTAAGTATTCATACCCCTTGACTTTTTCCACATTTTGTTTTGTTACAGCCTGAACTTAAAATTGATTCAATTGAGATTTGTTGTCACTGGCCTACACACAATACTCCATAATGTAAAATTGGAATAATGTTTTTCAAAATGTTTCAAATTAATTACAAATTAAAATGCTGAAATGTCTTGAGTCAATAAGTATTCAACCCCTTTGTTATGGCAAGCCTAAATAAGTTCAGGAGTAAAAAATTCCCTAACGAGTCAAATACAGTTGAAGTCTGAAGTTTACAAACACCTTAGCCAAATACATTTAAACTAGGTTTTCCACAATTCCTGACATTTAATCCTAGTAAAAATTCACTGTCTTGGGTCAGTTAGGATCACCACTTTATTTTAAGAATGTGAAATGTCAGAATAATAGTAGAGAGAATTATTTATTTCATATTTTATTTCTTTCATCACATTACCAGTGGGTCAGAAGTTTACATACACTCAATTAGTATTTGGTAGCATAGGCCCTTTTCACGATGACGTCATCTAACTTCCGCCTTTCCGCGTAGCAGGTTAACTTCACTTCCGTTCGCCCGTAACCTGAGACTTCTCAACGAAAATACAACTGTTGACCACTAACTAGCAAGCTAGCTACTTGAAGAAATTCCAAAAGGTACGTTTAAGTTAAATTAGTAAAGTTAAGAGTAATAATGTTTACGTATATGCAATGGTTTGTAACTTGCTAACGTTATTGTTAATTCATAATTGTTCACTGCCTTAGTTACTTAAAAGTGGGCTAACGTTAGCTAACAACAACTTAGTACCAGATACCGATAACGTTAAAAGGTAGCGTTACATTGCTGCCTGGCTGTAATGTAACAAGTTTACTTAGCTAGCTATCTAACCCTTTGTTAGGCAGTTAGTTTATTCATGAATGTATAGTAACTCACCTATTCAAATACTGTTGTGCATGATAGCTAGATAAATATTGATTCCTGGTCAAAGCTGAATGTTAATTTAGCTGTTTCTTTTCTCCCGGTGTCTGTATCGCAACAGTATCCCATCCAACACCGAAGCATGGCACAATCTTCGAGAAGATGCTATTGCAGTGTACCATTTTGTTCAAACAACAAACAGAAATTCCCGTATCTGAGTTTTCACGATTTCCCTGTTGATGGAGAAATACGTGCCCGTTGGGTGAGGGCGATCAGGAGAGATGAGGGACCAAGTTTTAAGATTCTTCGTGGGAGCACCTTTGTTTGCAGTCAGCACTTTCCCCCTGAGGATAGATACACATCGGCCAGTGGACGGATCCGTATTAAACAGGGATCAGTGCCGTCTAGATTCCACTGGAATGATTGGGGTAAGGATAGGTAGACAGCGTTAAACGTAATACTACTGTAATCCAATAATATATTACTTGTACAAAATGTTTAATAATTTAATCCTGATGCAATATAGCTGCTACATTTTGTCATTTTAGGGACTGAAAAGTGATTACCAAAATGTATCATGACAAGCATATGGTTAATTTCACACATATAGGAGGCGGCTCACAAGCTCGGGAGTCAGTCACAATACATTGTCAAAAGTCAATACAAACTGCAAAGTTCTGCATCAGTGTAACAAATAATGTCTGACCTGTGTCCTAGGCCGGTGCCAGGTCTGCAGTGCGCTGGTGCATGACAGAGGCAATGGCACTGTCTTAAAGCCCATGGTAACATAGTGAGCACTTTGAAAAAGAAGTGCTACTATGTGATTACATAGTGCTTTCCCAGCAGAGCAGGAACATGACATGTGATTGAGTACCACAGGAACCTCTGCAGAGTCTAGTGTAACCTGTTCATAGAGACATAACAATTAGTGCTGTACTTACAAAACATTTTTTCTGCGTTTCATTATAAACTACTGTACACAATTTTCAAAACCCAATTTCTTTTTTTAATTAAGAAAAATTGGCTGTTCTGAAACCTTTGACAAGTAGTGCCAACACTTATCGAAAATTTGAACATTTTGAGTTATCACAGAATCTTTCCCAGTCTTTATTGCCGTCAACAACCCACATCGGTTTGTAAGAATTTCGTTGTGTATTAAGTTTAATGATACAAAATCAGAGCTCAGACTGAGAAACAAACTGATCCACAGTGGAACTTTGTGGAATCATTCTTATTAAATCTGCAACCGCAGCAAAACACAACAAAAAGAAAACTTATCTATCTTAACCTATCTTATCATAATGTTAGAGAA